ATAAAAATCTACGAGTGAGAACGTGTCTTCCAAGCCACTTAAATTGAGGGGATGCATTTGCCTTGGCTTTATCTCCTATATGGTTTCAGCAGGTGTCACACATAATATTATTGCGTTGTTCCTTTGCATTATTTAAACTTGGATTAATTTTGATTCCGTGACTTATTCTCTGAAGAAAAAACTAACACTAAATCACGAAACTCTAGGAAATCTAGTTTTTCTACTCATTGGGATATCACCAATATATTGATTTATTTATAACCATCTACACAATGCTCAATTAATTCGAAATTATCAAGTCAAACTTTGGTAATGATACCGACAAAATATAAAACGTTGAAAGTTTTTATCACTAGACATATAACCATGACGATTAGTGTTATAGAGCATAACACATTTGGATATTCGTTAAATAAATATTGAAGAAAGTATTGTAGATCATCAACGTAGATGATCTATGTCGAAATGATTGGACGCCCACTCGAGTTAGATGCGAATGGTGTGACAAAACTAGCTAACGTCGAAGTCACACCTCGTGGTCAGCACCTTACGTCGACTACCCCATTGACGTATCAAGGTACCATAGATGCTTTGAAGACTATACAACACAGAGGACGTTATTACAGAAATATATTAGTCAAAGTAGATGCAAGCGGAAGTGAGACCACTGCCGCGTGGGCCAGTCCATGACATACGATTAACTAATGCGCGTTGGTTGTACATGACCTTGGCAGGGAGCGATGATCTGTTCAACATTCAGTGATCCAACTGCCGGATGATTTGGATAGGGCTCAGTGACATGTCACTGGCCCTACAGTATTATTAATGAAGTAATCAATATTAAAATTATTATCGATATTGTACTATGATTGAATTAATAATGTTACAACCTTTATGTACTTGTTTTCTTGTTTCAGATCTTTCTATATACTACAACTAGAAATTTTCATTTTTAAGAAACTACTTAAACAGTAAAATTATGTTCCAGTTTTCATGAAATGATTATTATTTATGGATTTCAGTAGATTTCTTCCTGTAAAGGAATTTCTCATATTTCAGTAAATCTAATTTTTCAGGATTTAACTTCATCCAGCTGACGAGTTCGAAATTGTACAATCCATCACCTCCGCTTGGGCAAATCGCTGGTGTATTAAACAAAATAAATTTGATTATTGTTAACAATAAATGTTTATCCTGTATTTTCAAATATACTGAACGTTTTAAAGTGCAAATAGCAGTATTACAAGAATAATCACAGGCTTTATGTAGATCGTTCTCATTGTTGATTATGTTTTTAACATAAGAATCCGTTCTAAAGTGTAATACACACTATGAATACCAAAAGTTACATACGAAACTGCATGCAGAAATTTAAATCATAGTATATATTATGTGTTATCAATGCTTAACGACTTTACATTAATGAAAAAAAATTCCATCGAAATGGAGACTGAGATGATGAATTGTGATATCGTTAAATTTGTCCTACTGACGTTTGAATGATAGAAAAATATTGTAAATAGTTGTGAATGATTGCTAAAATAAGAACAAAGATGACACGACAGAAACAAAAGTGGAAAATTTAGTTAATGTGAAAGTAAATCAGTACGAAACTAAAAACACACATTCAGAAAGCAAGTTATTGATTAACTGATAATAGAAAATACTCAGTTCAAATTATACAAATTTGAATGCCGATCCGACTGTAAAGAAACTACACAAAAATTAGTACATTTAGATTTTAGGTTGACCTATTTTCATGATCAAAGAAATCCATATCATCAGCCTTTATATTTTAATTACGCGCCGTCGGATTCGGGGTTTCAGTACTAAGTACATTCAGTCAAGCAATTCCTCAAACATAACATTGTCAAGAACAAATGAAGAAGCAAAAATTAAAATGAAAGTTTGATCTCTTCAAAATACTTTGATAATTTTGTTTACATTTCCAGAACCAACGCAGCCATGTTTTAGTCACGTGGACATGTAACTGTGTTTTAGTTTACATGTGTAAACATTTATATGTTTTCCTTAACTGTGTAAACAATTGAGTTGTCGCTTATCAACCAAAGTAAGATTCAATTATTCAAAAATTGCTTTAATATTCTTCTACATTACTTTTGATTGACCTATAAACTAAATTGTACCTCATCAATATTGACCATTTAACAGACAACTATGTTTCTAGTTCAAGAAGCGATGAGAAAATCCAGGGTCGATTTTGTCATAAATTTGAGCAAATTTGGTTTTCATTCCAACTTGAACCTGACTTTTGAGGAATATATATAATGTCGTCTCAAGTACTTTGCACTTAATGCATACATGATACGTGAGTAATTGGTTTGATCACATAACAGCAAACGTCCAAAAAAAGCTATTCTTCGAAAATTCTAAAAGGAACAGTTGTTTTTAATATGTATATCTGATCTTTGTATTGGATTATCACAACTTATAATTTTTTCAATAACAGGTTGAAACAGAAAACTTCTGCAAATTTATCTTTTGTCATTTATGATATTTTCAAACATTGAAAATCTTTAGGAAAAGTACCAATAAACTCCTAATTTCTCTCAATCTGCCAGGTGGAAATCATTCAGCTATTAGACTTTAACAACAAATATTTCTGAGTATTTTCACAGTTTTTTGAAATCATGAGTCAGTTGAAGCTAGACCACCATTGAAAACCTGGAAGCACTGGACGGCCGTTTCGTCCTGGTATGGGACTCCTCAGCAGTGAGTATATCATATATTGTTTGCGGTAAGTGAAAAACTACAAATCTACTATAGATAAGACGAAAATTATAAATCGAATAATACATTCTGCTCAATACTTCTGTTTGTAAATGTTGTTCAGACAGAATAAGTGAAAAACACAATAAAACATCTAACAAGGAAAGTGAACTCGAGGATTTTAAATGTATTCAAAGGCGAAATTAAGATTGTTTAACTGAAAAATTTTATTTTTTGTAAACAAATTCTAGCACTAAATAGAACGATATTATGAAACGAACTGTTCGAAAGCGTGTTAACCATTCATTACATTCAAAGTTTCTTTGTATAGTCTCTTCAAATCCATGAATCCTGATTTTTTTTAGAATATCTAATTAATACTTCTGAAGTTTATTAGCTACTGTGAAACAATTAGACCTACTATTATTATTTTGTTATATTTTGAATATTTAAATTCTAAAGAAAACATGCTTATTCACTCACATGAAAAACGACAAAACTATTTTGTTTTTACCTTATACCATTCAATCATCTTTATTTTATGTGGTATGATAGACACCTTAAGGTATAGTGAGGGTTAAAATTACTCGGGATATAGATTGAATCAGAAAAATCCACACCTTATATTGATCAAATAAGTGTCACGTTTTTACACATACATGGCAAAGTGTTATAATGTACCTTTCTTCAGGAGATTTTGTGAATTCCTTCATAAGATCTTCAGAATCTGAAAAAACATTGTTAAACTCAAACTCTCTAGAAATCCCCTGCTTATGGTGGGTTATATAGCGTATCTTGACCGGATAGTTATCGAATTCGTTACTAATTTCATCATGTTTCAAGAGACCTCTATATTAATAGATCATCCCTTTTATATCCCGATGAGAATAACGAATGATAACTTTTGGAATCCATTTCTGAACCAATACTATATGTATATTTATCGTATAATTGTTAACTAACTAAACTATTTATATTCGTGTCCCTCTTATTATAAGCTTTATTTTGGTTTATGAACTTTTATTATACGATTTACCATTCTTGAGTTATGCCCAGTCTATCAATTACTACCTCCCACATTCACAGCCACTTTTGGCTAAATCTTGTACAAATTTTGTTTCCTATTTTATGGTATGATGTGGTTTGTCTGGTTGATATATAAACCCAGTATGTTTGAAATAAATGATTCATATCGCAGAGTCTGGGATTGGTGTTCTGGACTTAACAGGCAGGGTTAGGCGGGAAGCAGGACCGATAAGGATTCTAGACTGCTTGTACTTGTTTTATGTGTCATTGGTTCGGTCGATAATTCACTGTTCTCTAATTGGCGGTATCATTGCGATATACATTGATAGGACACAGAGCACAAGATATTACATTACCCAAACACATTAAATTAAAGTTCAGTGCTGAACTTCCAGATGTACCACTTTTCTCAAGATAATAATGATTATCATTATTTTCTAATGGGATTGTTTTCAGTGAATGAATAGAATAATGCTTCAGTAAACAAATTGCTCGAAAATATTTTTGAATAAAGATTTTCAGTACGAATTAAATTATTCATCTTGATCGTGTGTGTTAATGTTACTAAATACAAAATAAATTTACCAAATGAAATTCGAAACATGAATATTTACTTTTGAAAGACTTTTGTTGTTGTACAGTTGTGCTTAAATCAATGAAAATGTTTGTTTAAAGATTCATTATTTGTGATATGTAGACTGTATTAATCTTAGTACATTTTTATATTTCCTATTACCATTTACTTATGTTAATAATATGATCAGTTTATTAATTACTTAAATATTTCTAAAATCTTCACGAAAGCCCTTCTGATCATAATCATCTGCTCATATGGACTGACTTCAAGAGATACTCCTGGAGTTCTAATGAGAAGCCGTGACCAGTGGAGTTCAATCAGATCTGTTGTGAAATATTAGCTCGCTGAACACAATTCTGTACGGTGGCGCAACTTCGTGGATTCGTTGAAGTTAGACATTAACACCGTTGGATGCCGGCCCAATGGTCTAGTTGGTTAAGCACCTGGCGCGAGACTGATAGGTCCTGGGTTGGAATCTCGCGGGGTGCAGGATCGTGGATGCGCACTGCTGAGAAGTCCCATGCTAGGACGAAACGGCCGTCCAATGCTCCCAGGTTTTCCATGGTGATCTAGCTTCAATTGACTCATGATTTCAATCTGTGAAATTTCTAAAATCTCCACAAAACTCCTTCTGAGAACTTAAATATTTATCAAATATTCTATTCATCATATTCGAAGTTTGAATGGCGCATAAAAAAACACAAATAATTTTTGTAATAGTTTGGTACTATTTTTGTTCAATACCTATAGTGAAGCACTTCATTGTTACAACAACCGGAAGCTACTATAATATACAAAAGTTTGGCATTCGATAAATCTCGGTGCTTACATTAATTCTTCATTAGATAAAATATCTAGTTTAAATTGTGGTAGAAAGAAAACTTAACAGAGTAAGAGAAGTTACATAATTCATGAGTTTCGTTGTCCCCCGTATTGCTTTTTCAAATCTTCAAGGAAGAAATCGAATGTTCCTTGTAAACGTAAACACAAGTTTGACCTGTTGGTAAAGAAATTAGACAATTTAGTTTATTGATTACACAGTAAATAATAAAATACATAGCATTATTAGAACATCATCAGTGTTCATACAAAGTCCCAAAAATCAATGATTTAGTACTCATTGCTGACTGGACAAATGCAATTACATTGAATAACTTGTATAGGTGACCTAATTTCACAGTAATCCTATGTTGACTTGTTAGTAGTGTCAAGATGGATTTTTATTTTTAAAAAGAAGCATGTTTCGAGTGAGCTGGTTGACCACTGATATTATTAGACGAAAGTAGATAATTGATATTAAACTCCGTGATATACCTAAAGGTTAATGATCTGACTTAATGTTGAATACACGCAATTGAGAAACCCAATAATATGAAAGCATAGCTACATAGTAAGACTTCAAGTTAAAGATCCATTTCTGACTTCGTTTCATGAATAAACCATATTCAAATTGTCCATTACTCAACAAACATGATTTACTTATGAATCTTACACGTAGTTAAAGATGAGATAAACTTACCAACATTCTAAGAAAAATGTCCTGTATATTTAAATGTTAATTAATAATCTATTTATAATAGAAACATAAAATATTGACTTCTGAAAACAGTCTCAAAACTTGTATTTGTTTCTTCATCATTCTGTTTATTTGAGTGAAAGGGAAATTTTTAATGTCGAGGTCATAGAATAATGGTATTGAAAATCCCATAAGAGTAATTCGACTATCTCAAAAGAACTAACGTATGTTGATTTATATACCTGAACACCACGATTTCATTGTTCAATATTAATTATCTGACATAATTTTAATTCATTAAGGAAACTTTTTGTGGAGTACGATATTTACATTTTAGATCAGCTTGAGAAATTTAATATATCAATGGAAACTCGAAGTTATTGAACGTATATTAACTTAGTGGATATTATAGTATTTTAATACTTGAGATCATGAAACAATTGAAGCTCGACCGCCATGGAAAACCTGGAAGCACTGAACTGCCGTTTCGTCCTAGTATGGGACCCCTCGGCAGTGCGCGTCCACGATCTCACCTCGCGAGATACGAACCCTGGACCAGTTCTACTGAGAAGAAGTGAGCAGTGGAGTTCAACCAGGTTTGTTGTGAGATAGTAACACAGTGAAGACAATGGTGGATGTGTCGCTCAATTTCGTGGATTGGTTGAACTTAGACATTAACACCGTTGGATGCCAACAGGCTCAGTGGTCTAGTTGGTTAAGCGCCTCCCGGAGACCGATAGGTCCTGGGTTCGAATCTGGAGATGTGAGATCGTGGGTGTTCACTGCAGAGGAGTCTCACGTTAGGACGAAACAGCCGTCTAGTGCTTCCAGTTTGTTCATGGTGGTCTAGTTTCAATTGACTCATGATTTCAACTACTAAAAATTGATGTCACATTAACAAATCTAATATTTTGAATGTTTTACTTGACCTGTTCAAAACTAACACCAAAGTTCATTAAAGAGTGGTTCACATTAAACTTAATGTAGCTATAAACTATTAATTAATGTGTATATAACAATTTTTCTCATAAAACAGTTTTCATTGCCATAATGGTTAACTATTAAACCGATTCGCGTTACTGGATGACAATGAAAATCATAAATCCACTTCTGAGCAACTGTAATAGCAAACTAATGATTAAGAAAATTCCGCGATAGTTCAAATGACCTACTATGAATTTACTTTCATAGTTAAACTCACCTAACGTCGAAAATAACTAGGAAACGACATTTGCATTCTGTAAGTTTTCTATTTTCAAAGTAATTTTTATCAAATACCATAGTTCATATACTCAATGGGAAACAGAAAAGTGAAATTTGGAATGTCCTAAATGTCATTCCTTACCCAAAATACACCATCAAAATTACACTTCTACTGCATTGCAAAACTACCTTCGAAACTCAAATCTAATAAACATAGCCTCAAACGTCAAATTTATTTAGTGAGCTACAGAAACATTTGTTGATGTAATAGAAACAGTATTGTCAAGGCTTGGTACTTTTCGCAGCCTAGTAACTAAACCAAATTAATTCATTATGTTAATGCTAAATAACTATACATTTTAATTACTTTGACTATCTTGATGATAAACGTTTATAGCACTGACTAAAACACATTCTTTAGAAAACAATATATAGTGCGTGTCGTCTGTGTGCTGAAATATCTTACGCAGTACAAATTTACTTTATTTGATGCTATGGTCATTTTCTCAGAAGAAGAATAATGGGCATAAATGCAAGGAATAATGTGCACCACATCAAGTTGATAAGTTGTCATGGTGTTTAATATCATTGATAACAAGAACAATAACATACTGTCTAAATTAGTGAATATTATCAAACTGACGTAGACAAACTCAATTAACATGACCTGTTTAATATTAAAGCAAATATCTCGAGTTGATATTTTAAGCTTTTCTCTGTGTTATATCATGTACTGAATGAATAAACAAATGTGAACAATCGGTTTTTCAAAGGAGGTCATTTAAAAGTTTATCAGATTCTGATTCTAAGTGATTTCAGTATAATCATGGTTTGACTTACCACCTTCTCCATTCACTACTGTATATAGGATATTAAAATTGCTCAATAGGTAATTGTTTGGTTATCAAGGATAAATATTCAAATTGTTGTGGTTAAACAAAAAGATCACATCAGTTGCCGAAAACACTCAATTTTAAAAGGAAATCGGGGTATGTTAATGTCACCGAATTGCCTTTACACTCAAGTAGAAACAACAAATACATCTTCACTACATATTTATAGATTTAGACTGTAGTAACCATCTGTAATTAACACACTAAAAAGTAGTGATTTTATAAAACTTTCTGTGAATCCAAAAATGAAACATTCTCCTTAACTCGGACTTGAAAGACCATAGTACTAACTAAAAAAGTCAATTAAGACCACTATTGATGGGATTGTTATTGTAGTGAACGAGAACACAAGCGGAGACAGTCGAAATTATTTGAACTTAAAATTACAGAATAAGTTTGTAAATCCTATGAATCATACAGTAAGTTCTTCATTTGCAAAATGTCAATCAATCGCCTCAGATTTCATTTTTTCTTCGTTTTCACACCAATCATTCTCTGTTCTCGTTCTCTTTTCTTCAATCTTCTTAACCTTCTGCCACCATGCATTTCATTTTCCGTTGACGATACATACTACTTATATTTGTCGACATCAGTAGCACACACCACATGATTCGATGTTGATAAGAGTGATGCGTCTCAGATGTTTTTATGAACCACAGTCAAATATTCACATTTTTTTAGTAATTACCAATCATGACTTTATCATACATGTTGTTTTAACAAACGAAACTTGAAATGACTGATTTCTAGAAAGTAATTAAACTATATATATCGTGATATTTAAAAGTAACGGTTTAGAAACCATGAAATAATTTGAGTCCATTTCTATTCAGTCAAGCAAATACTGAACTCTGCCTGCAGATCTTCTAGAGTTATTGCCGGCCCCAAACCCTGGTAAGGGAGGAGGGTTGGGTATGGGGTTAGCGATCCAATCTTGTAGAAAACTAACTCGCTAAAAAAACGCTAACTAGTAAGCAAACATTGACAAATACTTCGTATGGTTCCCCCTCCCAGAAATCATTTATTGAATCTTTTTCGAACTATAACATGATAACAATCATAATTAATATCATTATTCACACAATCAACTAATCATATTTTAATAAACTTACCATTAATTCCGTCAAGAAATATAAGCGATAAAGTTAAAACTACTGTAGATAGTAGGAAATAAGAATGCATTATTTCATCTAGATTATTCTAAAACATTTAACAAAACGTTATTCATATATACTATTCCATTAGACATCACAGGTATTTATAAACAGTTCATGATTTATAATTGTAACCCCACATGTCAACAAATCGATTATATTCAGGATTTGTATTCTCTTTAAAGTAATTTGATTCAAGTAAACATTACTTCCTTTTTGTATAGATCAAGTTTCTAATTAAACTAAAACTATACTCCTATAAAAAACAACAACAACAAGATTTACCTTAAGTATTTAGCACGATTATTAGGACTAAAATCGATTTAGTTAGTAAAGGATATAATAGAAACCAATCCGTTCATGTTTTTATTCTAATACACATTCACTGTAAAGTATATTGTGTTAGTAAGTTATGTATATTACTGATTTTTATTTGAAGTAGTGTAGTGAACAGAACACGAGTTGGGACAATCAAACGTCATGGTTAACTGTGTTCACATTTCCTCACGGAATTAGTACTTTTACAAAAAATTTCATATTTATACGACTGTACAGCTTGATAATAAATTCGTCGAAAAGAGATCTCTTCGCTGAACAATCAAACGTACTTAACACAAAATTACAGGACCTGTTAATAAAATCAACAATCATAAAGTAAATGCTTAATTTGCAAAATGTCCATCAATTCACTTCATTGTTCTTGCATTTTTATACAAACTGCATTTTGTTTCGATTCTTTACTGTTCGATCTTCTTGTCTCTCTGCTGTCAGACCTTCTGTTCACGACTAACATCATATACTACTTATTTCAATATAAGTAGCACACACCACAGTAGTAATAAAATATCGTTTCTAAAAATATTTTAATATTATAGGTATTATGATTGATAATCTATTTTATTTGAACTGAACTTTCGATACAGTAGCAAGACTGAAACTATCAGTTCATCTAGCATTAACTATTTATCTCATTCAAACCAGATTCTTTGATAATAGAATTACGTTATCAAAATGAATAAAGTAATTTTTTTGGTGTGCTCAATAACAGTTAGTCCATATGATTTCTATATTTTAACAGTTGAATTCCTAAGTCAATATAAGTTGAACCACCATTGAAAACCTGGAAAGATTGGACGACCGTTTCGTCCTAGTATGGGACTACTCAGAAGTGCTCATTCACGATCCTGTATGCGGGACTTGAACCCGTGACCTTAGGTCTTGTTCGCAAACGCTTAACCTCTAAACAACTGAGCCAGCGTGCGCAAACCGAAATTTCTGGGTTCAAATGTTGATTGTGGAATTCTGTATGAGCGCCATTAAGTAGTCCAACGGCCATCCAGTGCTTCCAGGTTTTCAATGGTAGCCTAACATTCACCGATTCATGATCTGAATCATAATACGTTCAGTTGTACTCGTTTAATTCTACCGGCCTTAAATTTCACTATTTTGGGAATTCTTAGTTATCAAATCAGTTTGAATACTTCTAAACACCATGGAATCCTTTAATAACTTGTAAATCCTTTATAGCGGCGATAATGGCAGCAAAAATACTGTTAACTAAGTGTTATTAATTCTACATACTCCTGGATATATGTATTAGATTTACTGTAATTTAACTTTCAAAAGCTATTGCTTCTCGGATTACCCTTCCTAAAATCTATCCACACCAGTTTTTTTAATTTGTTGACAACTAACTCAAATTAGGTCAAGCAACATGAGTATGTAGTAGAGTTGGTATTGTATTATTTCTTCTATCAAAGTTGTATTTTTGTGTTTATTCTGACAATTGTTCACACTTTGCCGTAAGCTCATAAAAGTGATGATTTATTCTGAACTGACTACTCGTAATCATAATGAATCGATTATTTTCAAAACGAACAGATATTATTCGGCAAACACATCAGTTAGAGAAACACTGAGGACAAAGAAGATTGGTTTTTGCTCGTGAATGATCACCTTGCTTAAGCACTAAACCAGTAAAGATGGAAATCATGAGGTCAATTTAGACAACTGAATAGAAGTTTATTGGTTTGATTAACTATGCTTATTCAATTCAATACAAAGCGCGACAATCATCTACAATCATTAATTGTTATTTTTCCAATCACGACATGATCGGATTCTTATAATTACGACTGCTCACTGCGAGTTCGATTATCTATCTCATATGTGATCAATAATAAGTGGATTGTGACTGTGATGAGATTATTGTTCATCAGCTGACTTAGATTATTTTCATTCCACTAAGCAGAGCTCATCATCTGAGGACAATGTTTTAAGTATATTATCTACATTTATAACAGGTTTTTCTTCCTGAAAAATATGGTCATTACTCTTGGTAGCTTGTCTACTGAATGTAGAATGGGAATGAGGAAGGAATTTTCAATGCAGTTGAATTAATTTCGAATGAGCAAATTAAGGTATAATTGGAATAATATAGAAGCGTCTGAATTTTGAGTGATACGATCATGTCATTTAGTTACTGATCATATTACCAAACAATCAATTTCGTACACCGGACATGATTTCCTATCAAACTTAACTTATATTAGTTTGTCCCTAAAACTAATTTTTAGGTGTTGTTTTAATATTTTTAAAATGGATTGCATAGTAAATTGAATAACACTCAGGAAACCCCACTTTTACATGTAATTCCTACCGAACCAAAACATATTTCAGTACCATTGAAATCAACAATCGATCTATTTTGAAACACAACTAGAAATCTGGATGCACTTGGTGGCCGTTTTACTCTAGTATGTGACTCACCAGACGTGAGCATCCACGACCCTTTCACACGGAATTTAACCCATGACATTCAATTTTGCGCAAACTGCTTAACTCTAGACCATTAACTATGGAAACCAAAGGACGATGGTTGCAATGTGTCGAGGAATGATTGAATTTAAAACTTAACACCACCAGATGCCGACCCAGTGGTTTAGATTTTTTGTGTTCGCGCACGGTACTGATTTTCCTGGGCGCGGTCGTGGTTACCTACTGCTGAGGAGTCCCATATTAAGATGAAACAGCTACCAAGTGCTTCCAGATTTTCAGCAGTGGTCTGAGTTTGATTGGTTGATGAATTGAGTGAAATCCAGTTATCGTCACAAAATTTTTACTGGGTAATCTTGTTTGTCTTTAATCCTGGTGTATTATATGCTACTTAACCTGACAGATATAAGTAGTATGTGGCCTCAATCGAAAGTGAAATGACTGAGAGCATAATTGAAGAGAATGGGATGGAAATCGAAGAGGGATCAAAATCACAACAAAATAAGAGGAATAATGGAGTATGTAAAGGCGACGCAAAGAAGGTGCGCAAATGATATATTTATTGTATGATTTTCATATTTTACTAAGCAACTGTGTTATTTTGCATTGAACAACAATTGAGTTCTCCCCACTAAATATTCGTTCATCACGTTGGTATCTGAAAAACTTAGTTTGAATCCAATTAAGGTCGCGATTTTGTTTCTTCTATCTGTTAATTTACTATTTTCCAAGTCGTAATTTCGATTAGTTTGGATTTTACAACCAAATCAAAGATCAGAGAAGCATGTAATTTATCTCAGTATTGCGTGAAGAACAAAAATGTGAGTTTATATTTACACTTACTGTATACTATACGCTAAGTTTCCCATTGATTTTATCATATTTTACTGTATTAGCATGACGATTATATTTTTTATATCCCAAACTGACTAGCAAATTCTACTCTAATAGTGTAATTATCACATGCTCATCTCCATAATTTAAGATCTTGTTTCGATCCAGTAGGTGATTTTCTGTATCCATGACTCATGAATCTCAGAATCGATCTGAAGTTTTCTGCATTTGTTTTCGATTTACCGTGATCTTTCAACGCTTAATTTACTTGCTGAAATCAATTTTTATTGATCTCTACCAAATAAATATTTCTTTCAAGATTTGTCCATCTTTTAGAAGCAGAATACAGGAGAAAAAGGAGTATTTGATAGCCTCTTATCAAAGTGTAGCTAGAACTCATCACCATTAGTTCAAGATACATCATGAAGATAACAACCTGAATAAGTTATCTACTGAAGGATCTAGATCTTTTTGATATCAAGTGTCCGTATATAGATATCACTAATATAGAGAATTATGTAAATATTGAGTACTATTAGTTTGAAGGACTCGCACTACATCAAACATTATGTTTCATTGAAATGTGTGTGGTTATCAGTAGGTTTAAAAATTTTTTATTTATAACTGATGTGTTTTGTTTTATAAAATTTTAGGAAGTCAAATCTTTTGCTGTTACTATGAGTAACAGGTTTTATTTGCACCTCCAAGAGATACTGGTAATGCGTTCAAAAGACATTTGAATGTTTCAGCCAAACGTTCGTACAAGTTTTTCCTGAATGTGTAGAATATGAAGAAAGTAATAGAAGCGATTAATATTTGTTCATGAAAAAGTAAGTGTAAACGTGTGTTCAATGAAGTGGGAGTACAAAATTTTTTTGAGTAGAAATGAAGTTGAATTCGTTTGATTGACCATAGATCACGTGTTTATTGGATAAAATTGTTCTTAGAATCTACTTAAAACCTCTGCGAGATTCGAACCCACCATTGCTTCCACGTTTTCCACGGTGGTCTAGCTTCAACTGACTCATGATCTTAACCATTGAAATTACTACAATCTCCACATAAACCCATCTGAAATTAAATATATATCCATAATAGTGTAGTGTTGTACAACGAATAATTCATATTCATTTATTATTCTAAGATATTAAGAGCAGTAAACATTAGATTATATCAATCAATCCTTAGTTTTCTAGTTAAAACACAAGAGTCTGCAATTAATTAAGATATGTATTCAATTTAGTAAATATAAGATATCATGATTGTGATGAGAGATGATCTTGATAATTTTGTTTCGATCCAAGATTGCATCGTTACGTACTAGCCATGAATACTATCAGCTGTATAATAAGTAGGATAATAGAGAAACTGACTTACCAAAGGTCTAAGATAAGCTGTCTGAAGTGTGATAATAATTTTTTTAATGACACTATCAACGTTTCTACAGAAAGTCATG